TATCTGGCACAGGAAATTATATCTGCCTTTTACGAGAAGCATCGCGTAAAGATTTTCTCCGATTCATCCCTCCGCTTTTTGACCTAGATACGCGGTAACTGAAGACCCATTTTATGCGATTTTAAACTCGTTGAGCAACTCGAAGATCGTACTTATTCTTGTCAAGTGTTTATCACGTTCATAACTCTTAACTCGTACTTCGATCCTCGTTAATTAATTAGGATCGCGTCAGGTAAAAGTTAGCCGTCGCGTTAATCCCTCCGTTTAACGATTACAGAAAAATATTCCGCGATCGTACGTTCGGAAGTCATCGAGAACGGGCTTTTAACCATTTTTCGTCGCGTCCCGATTACGGAATTATCGATTTTCCACGAGCGTTCTTCGTTGACGTGCAATTAATCGAGTCCTCGATACTTTATATTAAACAGATGGGAAAGTATAAAAGTCATCAGCTGGTTGTTCTACGGTTTTATCGAACGTAGCCCGAGGCCGCTAGTAACGATACCTGGCAACCGATTACACGGATATTGATTACATTACTACTTGAGCTCGGCTTGTGTCAAATTGCGAAGGAATCGAGGTTACTTGGAAAAGCTTTAAGCAGGCTTCGCAAAGCTAAACTGCCGCGTATCCTACAGGAGTACGCCATTTTCGCGAGCTTTAATAGAATAAAAGAAACCATGACGTTTTGGCCGAAGGGTCGATCGGCGTAAAAGCACTCGAGTTTCCACGCTGATGGAGCAGCTCTGAATTTTTTGCAGCAACTGAAAACGTTCAGGGAAACAATCGAAATTGATATTTCGTAAGCGAAAATACGCTTGAGCGAAGCGCAGAGCAAAGGACACCGCGGGCCACTCGATTTGCTTTTCCGTCAACTTCCATTTCGCCAATTGCTTCTTTTTGTTTGATTTTAACAGTCCCCGGAATGCAAACACGTTCGCGCGATTGCATCAGTTCGCGAGGCAGTTGAAGAAGTCCGATATTTTCGTCGACACGATGTTCAAGTTTCCGCGAACGTCGACCGATCTTTTACGTTAATCAAACAAACGACCCGAGAGGAATGGCGAAATTCCTTTTCCACGGGCGAGAGAGAGAGACTCGTAAAAAACCACGATCGTTCTTTTATAAGTCGTACTTTGTACTTGGGATAAAGCATGTCCATTTGTTGTTCGCGGTACTCGTATTCTGGAGGTAACGTTGTTTCGATCGCAACGACCGGAAATATATGCTAGCTCGATAATAAAACACCGTGGCATAGATCAGTCGAAGATAAGGCACAGATATGGCGAATCGAGTAACTCGTGGCAATCCATTTCCACCATAAATTAAGAAGAAGACGTCGGTAGTTCACGAGCGATCAATATCAAATCTGCTTCTGTATTTACGGTTACTTTCGCGATCATCTCTGGCATCGTATCGCGATGTGTTTGCACGGTATTGGGAAAGGACAGAGTCGTCGTTTATCTTCGTTGCCTTTTTTGATTCTCCGTACGAGTCGCTGTAATACGTCAGCGAGGACGTCAGTTTTCAATCTTTCGATTCGCGACGATTGGCTCGACGAGGAAGATGGGTAGATACTCCGGGTTGGAAACGCTACTTCGACGGCTATACATAATGCAGGGAGGAAGTTTGAAAATTTACGGGAGTCAGCGCGTCGTTCGTCAACCGGGGGTGAGGTCTCGTAAAGCCAGCCTTTCCACGGATCCCGTGGATTGACCTGGAATAGCCGTAGGTCTGAACAATGATCGTAGGTGGCCACAGGATCCCGTTGATCTCCAAGGACCAGCCTTTACAGCGGGACCGGAGAGAGATGGGGACGTTTTCCAATATCCAATAAAGCCGAACCTCGACCTCACTCGACGAATGTTTCGCTTGGATACGATTTAAAACGGCATAGCTTGCAGAAACATGTTCGTCGTAAATAGGTAAGTTACAAGATGACGTGCGATTCGTTGGAGCGGCAAAGTTAATTTGAAATAAATTAATACGGAACGTAATTCGCTTTAATTGGAAAAAGAAGAGAAGGAGAGAAGAGAGATTCGAGTGTATCGTTGAAACCGTGCCCGATACAATATGTTTAATTTAGAAGTTTGCACACTAAAATAATATTATATCGGACGTTAATTAGCATCGTCAATCGATCGATCGTTTTAATTATTCTATTAACATCGAGTGATGTTCGTTCAACTGCGTAATTTAATTTTAATATCGAGTCTCGGATTTTAGTGCGATATCGAAAAGTTTCAAATCGAAGAATGCCGTTTATTAATTTTCATTTCCCTTTGAGGAAACCGTTCGAGATGGAAACTCCTGTCTAACGCAAACTTCTCGTGGAAATATTCCTTTCCTGTTTAATATTTAGTTAATAATCGTTCCCAGTATGGTGCATTCGCTTATCTACAATTACACGTTCATTTCCGCTGAACCTTTAACTTTCCTGACGTCCGGTTGAAATTTCGCTGCACTATACACCGAGACCGAGAAAGGGAGAGAATTCGAAGCGACGAGTACTAAAGGAAGAGAGATGAAGAGCGGATGGAAGAGAGAAAAGCCTGACTGGTCCGCTCTGACAGCCGGGCAGAAGAGTGTCCGAACGTGGACGGAATCGTAAGAGGATTCCACTCGTCCTCGACCCTTTACATTTACATTCCATTCGTCACGTGGTAGTGGGTGTATTTCGAAAGGGGTTCTACCCCTTGCCGCAACTACCTCTTCAATTACAGCTACGCTAACATCCGTTTTTTTCCGCTCCGCGAATTCACGCTGCGAGCGTTGATTCGCGTCGCACGCAGGCCATTGTACGCTTGCAATATTTGTCGACCTATTGTTACTCCACGTTTCGCGAACAGCTTCGGAAATACCATGCGAATAGCCCTTATTTTGCGACACGCACACGCTTTTTCTGCCCAACGTTGATAATTCCGGATATACCTCTGCATTCCCGTGACCCTGTCTAACGATTTCCAATAAGATTCCACATTTTTGAATATTTTTGTCCAGAGAATTTCCACCGTGAGGGAAAACGATCGTTGCGGTATCGCAGCGAATCTATAATGCCCTTTGGAACGAAACGTATCGGAAAAGTAACGGATGAATACCAATCCACGGGTTCCTTGGTCAGGATGCTGCTCTTTGGTCCTTCCGTTCTTCCGTTCTTCCGTTTTCCGATATATCCCGTCCCCGGCAACTTCTGGCAAACTGTTTTTAATTTTTCCAAGCAGGAAACGATATTTCCTCGTTGGGTAACGTTATTTTCGGACCTTTATTTACGTTGAATCCGAAAATACGACGCGATTTAATCTAGGGGGTTGAAACGTCTGCCGCTATCGAAATTTTGTTATTTTCACGCAGGGATAACGAATCACGCGACGATCACCGGTTTCGCCAGGATGATTGCCGAGAAATAAGGATTACATAGAGTTCATTCTGGTCTGAATTCCTGATTTGTCCCCTACGGTGTTTCCAATCGAATCGGGATGGGAATGAAGCGGAAACAGATACGATCGCGAACGATCGACGTGGAGCGATACGATTGTCGATGAAGCTCATTGCTCTGCCCTCTCTTTCTCTCTCCCTCTCTCTTACTCTCTCTCTCTCTCTCTCTCTCTCTCTCTCTGAAATCGGCGTCAATCCTGCGCGAAACTGAAGCACATTGATACTGCTTAATAGGTATACGACCAGAGAATTCATTTATCTGGATGCCGGTTGGAGAAATTTCACGAGCGATTTCACTCGTTCGGTTTCAATTCTCGAGAACAATTTTAATTTAAACTGAAAAGAATATCGACGCGGCATACTTCTCCAGTAGATACGAAGACGACTCTCCTTTTCTCTGTGCTTCCAGTCGGTTGAAAAAGGAATGCCGTTTCTAACGAGTCCGCATGAAAATCGAACAAATTTGCCCAGCCGAGGAAACGGTGCTTCCGTAAAACGAGAACAAAAAACCAGAACCAGCCTTCTATTTACAAAATCGTTCCAGCGAGTGGAAACGATCCGTGGCTCGTTCGACGAGAGAAGTTCCACACGTTCGGACTCTTTTCTATCGAATTTCTATCGAGCACGGGACGTCCGTCCGTACGGAGTACGTGACACGTATCGAACATCGTTGCTGCCTCGATGTACCGCGAGACATCGATCCGGTGTAAACACACTAACTGTCGCTATAGAATCTCCATTGTATCCTTTTCCTCTGGTATCTTCAACATTTTTACACGGCTATTGAACACTCTCGCCCATTAGTTCACGCTACTTCGCTCGCTGTGTCTTCGCGAGACGCTTTTCATTCCACTGCTTGTCCTTCCTTCTTCGATGAAAAATGGGAAGAAAACGTCAGCTTCCGCGTGCAACCATTCACGTTGTCATCGTGGAATCCAGCAGCAACAAAACGTCAGAGCACGCGGAACGCGGTAATCACCGTATTTGGACTTCTCGTGTAAATTCTACGTCTCGAATCCTATTAACTAGTTCACGAAGCAGGACTAGTTACTCTGGAATTAAGTGATCCGCGGCAGACAGACGCGCATCGCCCACGGAATTTCCGTAACAGTGCGATTATACCAGTTCCTGCCGTTTCTCGCCGGTGAAACAGTCAAGCACATATTAATTCGGCAGCACACGCTGCAACTTTGACTTCGTGATGGCAATCAGGGATTGAGATTGGCAATACAGTTTCCCCCTCTCGTTTCGGTTCAATTCGAAAGGATAACGAGTTTGCCGCGAATCCCCGTGGCGAGTACCAAATTCGAAGAATCCTTTCGAATCGATGGCGCGTGAAACGTCGATAATTTCCAAAGCTAAGTTAGATTTTCAGCCGGATGTTGTCAACTGGTCAGAGGACATTTCCGGAAGAAAATGGAGCAACGCGAAACTTTCGGTGCTTAGTTTTATTCTTTTAGCATAACTTAGTAGGACGATGTACAAAGTGGGCATTGACGAACTACAACTTAGGGCGAAAGATACTCGCGATTGTTCCGTGGAAACGATCACTGTTGGTTCTACCCTCATCTCCTCCTTTTGGGCCTGGCTAAAAATTTTAGTCGCCTCGAACACTTGGCCTTCAACGCCTTCGGCGAGACCGTGAAGGCGTCTTCCCGAAGGTCTGTCTCTATCCCTGCAGGCCGCTCAACTGGCTTCGCCAGGGCTATCGTCCTGGGAGAAGCTGCGAAATTAAAGACCATGCATCCTGTCGCTCTAATGTTCGCACTTAAGGCGGACAAATGGCTTGAAAGAGAATTAATTCACCGGCGACGGTGCAGCTTGGCTGTGGAAAAACGGCCGTTTAGTCGGACGTAGCAGGGTAATTGGCTAACGCAAAGAATTAGGTCCGCAAACTTATCTCGCGGAAACATGGTTGCCTGCTAATGAGGAAATTTCGAAGGAAATTTACATTTGCCGGCTAACAGTCGACGATCTACCGAGGAAAGTGCTCTTTATTCGAAAGCGGGCGACTAGTTGGTGAAACATCGCGTACCCGTTCGACCGTTTAATCGCGGAAAACATCGTTTTAATTACTCTTCGCCGTTTCACGGTTCGCGAAACGGTGCTGACTCGAAATAGAAGAGAAATTAAACCGATTCTCTAGCTAGGATCGGCTAAATCCCTCGAAAACTTGCAGTCTCTCGGGGTGTGATTTCGTTTGACGCGCCCATCTATCCGAACAACGGAATTTTCAACTTGCCCATTTTCCGCGCTAACTTCCTTAAGTAAGCACGCGCGTGATTCCTGACGTTGAAAATCCGCGCCAGCGTCAGGACGAGTCCGCTGAGTGGTAAGTTCGCGGAAGGAAAAATCCGAGAGAAGGAAGAAAAGCCGAACGACCCGGCGTACCTACGGCCTGCAACGCGCCCCGTGAAACCGTGCCCAGGATCCGTGGCGGTATAATCTCCGGTGGTTCCTTTGGAAGTGCAATCTTCTCGAGACGTTTGCTGATCTTGTAGGTGAGAGCGGTTGCCGGCACTCTGAACGGGTCCTTGACTTCCGGTATCTCTCTCACCGGTGGCGATGCCAGCTCTTCTATCCTCCGCATGTTGACCGGCCTCCATTTTTTCCTTTTGCCCTGCAATTCACCGTCACTGTGTATCGATCTTCGTCATCGAAACGAACCTTTGTTACCCCGTCTTTTTCTACCCGATTCCTCTATGACGAGCGCACGACAGACGCCCGTTTTTCTCCTGTCCCCTTCGTGTCCCCGTTACGTTCCATCGACATTTCACCGGGAATGCCGGTGAATCTGTCGTCTATCAGAAGACTAGGAACCTGTGCCCGAAGGATTTGCCTGTGTCGATCGACCGACCATTTTCGTCTCCGCCTCTCGCTTACCGGGTAAATAACTTAGAAACTTCATCTGTCGACGCGGCAATTTCTTTTTAAATTAAGGTTCTTGCTAACTCTTACATACAGGCAATCTAGGCTTCGGTGGAACTTTAGGCGCGGCCAGTATTTCCAGCAGCTCCATGTGGTGTTCCCACTCTTCCGGCTTGATCGCCCGACGCAATTTCGCCATTATCTTTTGTCTGCAATGAAACGATCGAGTGAATTGAAACGGGATCAAAATTGAAATTGGAAACGAGAATTAAATTTCAGCTGTTTATCGGTTTGCGCGATGAGAGTAATGCCTTTTCGCTCGATTATCACGCCGTTTTGAATAGATTTCTCTCTGTGACGAGAACAATTGCGAAAACGAAAGAGCAGGGTATGGAGGGAACAGAGAGAAAGACGAAGAGGAGAATGCAGTGTACGCTCCTACTTGTTTGGCGAATTTCAGGACACCCTTGGGCACTATTAATAATTACATCTAGGGTACTCGTGTCTGCTAACTGTTCGCGAGTTGCGCAGGAAGTTTGATAGTAACGTTAGGTACCCACGAAAGTCGACATGGAAAGTGGAAAGCCAATATCTGGGTTCTCGTTACACCACGAGAAATCTAGGGAAAAAACGAACTCGCGTGTCACGTCGATGATTTGCCAACGTTTCCCGCGCGATTCCGAATTAATCGCCAAGTTCTACCCTCGCCGTAACGTTCAATTTTCCGCTTTAATCCCAAGAAGGGAAAAGTTAATCAAAGAGTACAGAGGGAGTCAAAAGTAGATAATTGTATTCGTGAATTTGTTCTACTACGCGAGACGTGAAATACGAACGAGTAAGCCATGAGCAGACAAACAAGAGCCCCGTTTTCGACGCCCAAGAGAAGGGAAAAGTCTCTGTTCGATATCCAAATCCGACTTTACGAGATCGCATTTGCCAACGCGAAACGTTCGCAGGACAATCCGATTATGTTCGTTCTCTGTGACTCGTTCTCTCCATTTCATCCGCAAGATCGTCTTTCTTTCGGTAGCCACTCTGAAAAGGTTCACGGCGAACGCTTGTACAGTTGCTTCCTCTCCGTGATTCAAAATACAGCCGACAGTCTGGATAAAAATCTACGCAACACTCACTTTTTCTTCATCTCTCGTTGCAGTCTGGCGTTGCAGAAAAATCGATATCTCCGGTATCTCGAGTTCTGAACCTTCCACAATGTCTCGGCTATGTTGCCGCTAGTAGGGAACCTCATGTTCGCCAACAGCAATCTGATCGAGGAACGAGCAATTCGTTAATTCTCTTCGAGGCTGTGTCCTTCCTCTAGCGAAAAGAAGATCACCTTTTTCTGGGAAGAGCCAAGTCGGTGATGCGTTTGGTGATTTTAGCCGCGAGCGTTTTCGGATGGATTCGCGGATGCAGCGGTGGTGCTTTTCTATGGACGAACGAAACCAGTTTGCAGCTATGGTGCTATAGCTCGAGGTACCGAGCAGACCGTATCGATCGATTCGACGTATATCGCGCGAACGCATAATTACTCACCTGGGATCGTATTTTTTGGTAACGTGCTTTGGCCGCGCCATCACCTTCATCCTTTTCGATGCTCGCGCTTTCAGAGCTGCTCGGCGAATGGAAAAGGGATTCGTCTAATAAGATAGCAAGATACTCACGATAATATTCTGCTACAAAGTACGTAACGTTCGTGGAAGCGAAACGATGCTCACTAAAATATTCAAGTTTCTCGTTTGAGTTCTTCTCCAGTTAGGCCGTGCCAACAGGGAAATGTGCTGTTTGTGGGACAAATGGTCCATGGCGTATTTGATCCTGTCGATCAGCATGTTTGCGATCTTCTAGCTTTGTTCCCAGGTACGCTATCAATTTCCTTAGTCAGGAGCACGCTGTTGGCCCCGATTCCGGTTTTCTTTTCGACTTCCTCTTTCGATTCCTTGCGCTCCAACCTTTATTTATTCCACGCTCGATTTTTAACGGCACGTTGCAGGTTGTGTAATTAAATTCCAGTTTAATTAATCCAACGATCCGACCGATACAGATATATACATATATCTATATGCAGGTAGATAGATTTAAAAAAACGAAGGAGAAGAAAGGAGGAAGCTCGAGAAATTGGGTCACCCGCGAAATTTACCAGCGCAAAATTTTCTTCCGTATCTAACCATTAATTTGGACGCGACGTATCTGACTGAAAATCGTGTTCGAAATCCACGGATCTGGCGGGGCGAGAACAAATGAAAGATGACACTTAATTCGGCCGCGTTTAGATGAATGCTTCGCAACCCCCGATGCGAATGCTACAAATTCATACTTTAAACGGTGCCTCGAATTTCGTTTGAAGCTTAGCGATGCGTTTCTTGCTGGATCGTTAGTTTGTGCACAAAGCTGTTTCGAAACATATAGTTGTTCCAGACAAAATCGATTTCGAATAACTGATAGGAATTTCGTGAAAAAAGCGAGGGATTCGCTCGAAAAAAGGTGAGAGATAACGCGAACCGAGTATCGCGTATTAAACGGAAAATGACAATAATTGCGATTCTTTTGCGTGTTTACGTGCTGACAGAGTTCGCCAAACTTGGGCACGAAGGAAAAACCCGGTCGCGGTTCCCCAGTGAAAGGAATTACTGTTACCACGAGAGAATTATCGCGGCGTGAGATTATTTCGAGCAATCCACGAAAATGTGGAACACTGGCTGGGTCAGGTAGCATAGGGGATTTTCAATTAATAATACTGACACTCGGAATAAATACGGTATTCCCTTGACGCGAACGTGCCCCCCATTATTCGACGCGTAAAGCTACAGCTTCATTTGCAGTTCGTATTTCGAGTCATCGGTCGAGCGTTCCTGTGGAAAAATCCATCAAAATACAAGAACCTGATGCCGTTTGATAATTGCTCGCGTACAATTTTCTCGTTCGATCCATCATTAAGCGATGAATGCGATTTCGCATCTCGTCCAAGAACGTATTACGCGTTGGGGACAAAAGAAGAAGATGCAACGCGAGGATACAAAGAGAGGCAACCGGGGAAAACTTTGATCGTTTGGCAAAGATCACGGTACGAAGCAATTTCGAAATCAAATTTCCTCGATCGAACCGATTACATGGCGATTCCACTGGCCGAGAATCGGTATTTCGGGATACAAGAAATATGAAAGAACGGCGGTAGAATGTAATTTCGTGCTCGATTCGGACTTCCAGCATTACGTACAAAAGCTCTCTCGATGAAGATCTCTTAAGGGACATCCGGTCGGTTTTATTCGTTTCCATCCGTCCACGAACATGGGCCACTCACGAATCCTCTCTTCTTTTCCTCCCTTTTCTCCTCTCCTTCTCTCTTACTCTTTCTCTTTCTCTTACTCTTTCGCTTCCTTCTTTCTACTGCGTCGTTTCCCTCTTCCTCTTTCGCATTTCACTTATCCTTCTCACCCTTTTCCTCCTCCTCTTCCTCCTTCGTGTACTACCTCTTTCTACCGCATTTCCTTACTCTGTCAACCCCGCATGGGAAATCTCAAATACGAGTCTGTTTACCTGGCACTTGAAATCCCGGTGGATATCGATGATAAGATTTTACTCCGACTTCACCCTTCCCCGGCCTTCATCAACCGCTTCTTTAGCCCTCCGACTGTCATCCTGTCGGTGATCCGAAAATTATCCTTGCGGGTTTAACGGGGACGCGATACACGCGATATCGCGGCAAATATATCATATTCGGCAGTGAGTTATGCTCGCTGCGAACGTGTCGGAATTTCAACAGCAAAAACGTCGCTGGTATTGTGACTCGGCGAAAAGCCAGCAGCCGGTAGCACGCGGAGGCGTTAATAAAAATTTCCCCTTTCTTTCCCTTATATCAGCATCGCGATATTTCTTCTCCCTCCTTTCACGAGATTCTTACCCGTTCCCTTTTCTTCCTCCGCCTTTTCGAAACTTTGCCGTTTTTATGCCTCTTTTAATCAATCTTCGAAACTTCCGTCTTCGCTGGATGACCAGGCGATCACCTGTTTTCTTTGGTCCAGCATGAAGTTTGAAAAGAGCAAGAGGAGAAAGGTCGTGGATGCAATAGTCGGGTCGAAGCTGTTTTAACGGATCATCGTTGATTTAATTTCGTTCGTCGAACGTGATGCGACCATTTTTCCGCCCTCCGCTGCGAAGAGATCGAAGAATGTGAGGAAGAAGAAACGTTTGGACCGGTATCAAAACAGTCTGCATACACAGACACACGAAAACCTGTGACCGGATAAGCCGTTGTTTCTAATTAAATTTTAATTACGGGTCACGGGACCGGACGTTATTGGCTAAAGGAAGTCTCGTTATTAACGGCCACTCTTCCGGAAATCATTGTTTCGCGCATACACACACTTGAAAATTGCCGTAACGCATCCCTGAAACGTAAACTATCTCGCCGGGGGATAGAATTATTTTGAAAAAGGAAACAGTTATTTTTTTAATCTTCAAACTTGATACGGTGTAATATCTTTTGTTGGTAAGCCGAAACAATATTCCATTCATTATTAGATGCACAGAGATTGAGAATAATTATAATATCGATTTCACTTCTAGAATTAGTTTTAAAGCACCATTATTCCTGATAATTGTTATAATTGTGTATCTCTCGCGTTAATTTAGAGAACTATATTCAATTACTATAAATATAACTTTCAGTCTATTTTTAACCTTTAATTTACATATTTTTATTTTAAAAAACCGATGAAAGCACTTGAACATAAATGCATCATGGAAACTTGTATTACGGATGCGCGAAATAATTATAATTTGGAAAAATTTTACAGATTAATACATTCATCGTGAACTACAAATAGTTCGAACTAAAAACTCACAACGTAGGTGTAAAAATGACTAAATCATTGATTATTTATTACAGTAGAAAAGTAATTATTGGTGAACCCGATAACGACCGTAACTTTTCGCTCGAATTTCGGCAAGCAGTACTCGTTGGCTGTATAAAACCCACGACCATTGCAACTCAAGCCCATTTGCCAATTTGGCTTCGGATCTGACAGATCAGAACTTTAGTCAGGGTGGGTTAGAGACGTGAACCAGGGTGGACGATGGCCATCAGCAAGCACCATATGTGTTGCATAGGCTACTTGATTCTCTCGAGCAATCAGAAACTCATTTGTCGTTGTAAATTTTGTGAATTTTTCTTGTGAAAGACGAATATCTTTCCTTGCTTCATCGTTTATTTTTTCCAAAGATTTTTCTTTGAAAAATGGTACCGAGGTAACGGTCACGCACGAAATTTCAAATATTTACAGTCCATTTAAAATTTCCGAAAATTTTCTTCAATTTTGCAAACGTCGAATGAACGTTAACTGTTGCATTGTGAAGTAAAGTAAGATAGAGTATGTTAGTTATAAGTTCAGTCTTCGTTTGCTCCGTGGGGCACCATCATTGATATTATACAGCAACTAGGAGTTGAAAACTGTAGTAGTATCGATTCCAGTTTGTCGAAACTGTTTCAAAGAGCTGTTATTTTTCTTAAGAACCGAAATCTATGTAGATATCGATTTTTCTTACGAATATGTTGTCGATATTTCAGGAGCTACCAGAACGATAACTGAAACCGATGTAAATAAGAACGTTTTCAACCATAATCCGTTCCTATAACGTTATATCGGTCTTTCATAACTATTTTGAACGGAACAGTGCCATAACAGTTATTAACAGCTATTTCTGGAATCATTTCAATTCCTCGATGCACGCTAGATTTGCTCATTGAATATAAATACCAAACAAACGTGTGACGAATCATGGTTTGAACGCGAATTACTTACGAAATATAGAATTTCTATATCTCTTCTAATTAAGGTTAATCACTGCAATTGAAATCTTGATTAATGGTTGGTCCAGAAGTTTTCACTTCCCGAATTAGATAAGGAAGTTCTGTTATTATAGACCAGTCGACGATATTCCGAGATCGCCGAGCTAATCCGATTCTAGGTCGAGAATAGGTTCCGTCTAGGGAGAAGGTTTCTGTAACTGTATCGCAGACACAACCTGGAAGGTGCACCGGTGCTTCGGCGTGAAGTGTTATCACGTCAGACCACTATGCGCTTATCTGTCCCTATTGAGATTGGTAGATGTACCATTCCAATTGTCTGTAAATCTATATTGGTTCTATACTCTTAAGCTTCCAGCGGCTTACAATTAAGAGCTACGAGGAACAATCGCCATACCTAACGCAGAGAAAATTGGAATGTAAGCGCATCGAGTACCGAATGAAATAACCATCGTACTAAATGCTATCTTATTGAACCTATTCTTCGCTACTTCCATTTCTCTAAATCGTGATTCTTCGGTCCCAAAAAGGACTGTGGAAAAGTGTAGAAATAGACGGTCAAATGTATCTTTTTCCGAGCAGAATACGAGAAACGGCTCACAGAAGAATAACCAGTTTCCTTTTGGCGAGAAACGACGGCTAAAGTGGATATTTCTTCGTACTCTTAACCATCTCGACCCGCTTTTCCGGGCGTAATTTTTAATATCCGTCCACCGCTCACGTATATGTGTTTCTATTATTCTGATACTTGATAATTTACAAGATCGTTCCCGCAGATATCTCCTTTTTCATTTGCCGAATTTCTGTAACAATACTAATTTAATTTCAGCGCAGCGTATAATGGGGTCGATGCGTCCAAATGGGGAAAAAAAATAATTCAACGAATTACATATATATATACACGTTATTTTTCCATTTTACAAGTTTTAAATATCCATATCTAAGTCGTTTCTGAGTTTCTTCTTACCAATTTTATTAATAACTTGGTTTTCAAGTTGAAAACATGAAATTTTGCAAATCATTCCT